CCCCCCCTCAGCCGCCAGCCCGCATGTACTCCGCACCTTAGTATCTCACTTCCGCACTGCTCCTCCTCTGAGCCTCAGTGTTTTTCTCTTTCCTCCTAGTTGTAGAATTTCCACTCAGCCAGCTTTCCTGTGGTTCTGGATGATGTCCGTTTCGTCTTTTAGTTGTATTTTTGAAGTGGTTGTTCAAGGCAGCAAACTCCGGTGTTTGCCTATGCCGCCATCTTGGTTTCTCCAAAATGTAATTATTATTAATGTAGATGTAGGTTTCCAAAATCTAATGGCAACAACGGTTATAATGCTTGATAAGATAAATTACTAGCAAAATTTAAAAATAACCATTTTTGACAGAATGTAAAAAATGCCTCTATTTTTTAAAATAGCTTTTTATTGGTTTTAGAGGGAGAGGAGAGAGAGATAGAAACATCAGTGATGGGAGATAGTCATCAGTTGTCTGCCTCCTGCATACCCGCTACTGGGAATTGAGCCCCAAACCCTGGCATGTGCCTTGACCGAGAATTGAACTGTGATCTGGTTCATGGGTCGATGTTCAACCACTGAGCCACACCAGTCAGGCAGCAGTAAGCCTCTATTTTTTACCTGAAAAGTGGAGATGACAAGAATACAACGCAGCTTGGACAATTTCTCAATGTTTTGGAATATCGGGCTAGATAGTTCGTTGTGGAGGACTGCTCTGTATTGTAGGAAGTTTAGCTGCATTTCTGAATGCACCTCAGTAGATGCCAGTAGTGTTCTCCATACCCTTGCTTCTCAAGTTGTAACAACCAAAAATATTTTAGACATTGACAAAGGTCGCTTTATTGCAAAATCACCCCTGGCCCTCAGTATTTAATAAATAATACTTACTCCTTTTTTATTGTTGCTTTCCTAACTATTGTGGTCTGGGTGTACTCGAGTTTGTCAGGGGAAAATTTTGGGTGAAACAGGAACACCTGTTGATGAAAAGTTTTTTTATAGAGTTTATTCTCTTGATAAAAAAAGGACTATTGCATATCCATTCTTTAAATGTAATCTTTTACTCTTTACTTTTAAATGTTTTTACCTGGGTGCTTATTTCATTTTCTTTTAAGAAATACTATGTAGTGCGAAAAGACTAAAGTTGTTAATGCAGCCTTTGAGTTCCATCCATGTGAGAACAGAAGCTCTAGCTCTAACAAAACTAGAAGTCTGGTGGTATTTACTAATGAGACTTGGACCTCATCTTCCTGCTAATTTTGAACAGGTAATGTTACAAGTGTTGATTATAATATTTTGTGTTTTCTTTCTTTAATCTTTCAGTGTTACTTTTGCTGTTTTAGCTGACCACAATATATAGATCTTTTTTCTTGACAGACTTGTTCATTTCCCTTAAAGGATAAGCCCTTTTAATTAGTAAACACTCTAATATCTATTTTTTAGAGACAGAGGATTTTTAAAAAGGAATTTCAGAGGACTTAGAATATAAATGAGAGTAGATTCAATATTACTAAAATAGAAATCAAATGCTATACTGAGTAGATAACAAAATGGGATTCTTATTTTTGTTTCTCTTTTCAAGGCTACATAATGATAACCAATCATTTAAATCCCATCATTGGTTTACAGCAGTGATGGCGAACCTATGACATGCGTGTCAGAGGTGACACGCGAACTCATTTTTTTGGTTGATTTTTCTTTGTTAAATGGCATTCAAATATATATAAAATAAATATAAAAAATATAAGCCTTTGTTTTACTATGGTTGCAAATATCAAAAAATTTCTATATGTGACACGGTACCAGAGTTAAGTTAGGGTTTTTCAGAGTGCTGACGCCGAGTTCAAAAGGTTCGCCATCCACTGGTTTACAGTATTGTTGAAATGATTTTACAGATTTCTTTAGCTATTGATATCCTCTGGGCATTTAAACCCATGCTTAGTCTTATCTATACCTCTTTGTTTTTGCAGTTAATCCCATCCTTGGTTTCTGAATTTTTTAATTGATTTGAGAGAGAGAGAGAGAGAGAGAGAGAGAGAGAGACAAACATTGATTTGTTGTTCCACTTATTTTATGCATTCATTGGTTGATTCGTATATGTGCCCTGACTGGGGATAGGACCCACAACCTTTGTTGTGTGGGGACGATGCTCTAACCAACTGGCCTGATCTGGCCTGAAATTTTTTTTTAGTTAAGTTTAAAACAGGACAGGCGCGATAGCTTTTATCTTTTTTATTGCTTATCTTGGATTTTCAGTATATTTTAATTTTGGATCTTAAGTCCTTGTCTTCTAGTCTGTGTAAATCCTATCTAATAAAAGACAAAAATGGTAATTGGCGTACGACCAATACCCTTTTCATTGGCTAATCAGGGCTATATGCAAATTAACTGCCAACTAGGATTGGCAGTTAACTGCCAACTAAGATTGACAGTTAACTGCCAACAAGATGGTGGTTAATTTGCATATGTAGGCACAATGCAGG